TAGCACTATCTTCAGTTTCTTTAAAGAATTTCCACACCCAACTTGTTTTAGGTCTTGTAATTTTATTAGGAGGCTTTCTTTTTTTCAAAATGTCTTCAATAATGCTAGTATTTGCATCATTATCATCAGTTATATTAATTACATCGACTACATCATTATCAGATATGGTTTGGTCACTAGCTTCTTGTTCTGATTCAGATAAATTACTTTTATAATCAGAATCAGTATCATCCCCTTCTTCTTGTACTAATCTCTGTCTTTCTACTTCTTTAGCCAATTGTTTATGCTTGTTTCGCGTAGTAGTAGCCATGTTTTTTTGTAATGTGAGAAAAAAATGAAAATAAAGTTTATAAATGATGTAAAGTTTATAAACAACGTTATTAATTTGTAATATTTATGTCGATCATCATATGTTGTTGATCATCAATGTTGATTTTTTTTAGCAATTCCGATAATTCTGATATTATTTTTTTTACCGAAGCGCAATTACAGAAGTAATATGATTATTTTTGCTACGCTAAAATATAAAAAAATTCGATTTATTAAGATTCGATTTTTAGATTCGATTAATCGATTCTATTAAATACGATTCGATTTTCGATTAATTCGATTTTGGTTGAATCGATTCCAATCCCTAGATTAAGGTATGATGAACTCTATATTTAAGTTTTGTAATATTGTGCCTTTTAAATTACAAGATATTTCCATTTTAAATTTTGTATTCGGGTGATTCAATACTTTTGATCGCCACTGTACATATAATATATAATCCAACTATTATAAATAATAAAACTATGTTAAATATAAAAATGTTGATAATGTTGATAATGTTAATAGAGTTGAGAATTTTAACATTTTTGCAGATCTTTATTATGTAGTAATTTTGATATAATCTGGTATTAATGTAAAATGATATATAAAATAACAAAACTTAAAAAATAAGAAAAGCATATTTTTTTTTTCAATAAGTTGAATAACTTCAAGCTATTTATGAGAATAAAACAAGGCATATCATGAGAAAAATGTTGTTTTTTTCAATACTGTATTCAGAATTATTATCAGTTAGTCATAAGATTTAGGCAGAAATTTATAATTATGGTAAAATATATTATATATAATCAACAAATTAAAAAGATTTATAATAAATTGTGTTAGTAATAAGAAGGTATTATATATAGTAAGTAAGTATTTAGGGTATTTTACAATTTTTGTATTCCATATATAATATCTCATTAGTGTAATATATTTCAAATATAGTGAGATCTCTCTAAATGCACCCCCTTTGGAACTATAGTGAAATTTGAAAAAATGTGCATTTAAGGAGGGTATGCATTTAAAGAGAGAAATTTTGTATGATCTTTATATACTTGGGGCTGTGTGAAATGTGCATTTATAGAAAAAATATATATGCGTATATTTAGGGAGGATGTATTTAGAGAGGTCTTATTGTATAATCAAAAACCTTTAAAATTTGCAAAAGATCTAGGTACTATAATTCACAATTTATAGGAGCTTGTCAATAGAAAAAGGGGAAATCTAAAAAAAGTTTTTATGAGTTAAAGTTAAATCTGAACTTATTTACTAAAAAATTCATATTTAGCATATAAAATATAATTTTAATTTTTTTTAAATTTCCTCTTTTTCTATTGATAAGCTTCCATATGATAATTTAAATTATTTTAAACTTTTAAAAATAATTTATTATATAATGATTGCAAAAAAATATAATCATATTTATTGGATTCGTCTCATAAAAATGTATTAAATAATAATATTTTCATATTTCTAAAATTAAAATATTGTGATTTAAATAATTAAATTATTTTTATAATAACTCATTACTTATTTATTCATAAAAATTATTAACTAATAGCATTTTTTTCAGATTTAGCTTAAAAACATCATAAAATTTATTAAATTTGTTTTTATTTTATTTATATATTAAAATAAATAATTAAATATATTAATAAAGTATAAAGTTAATATAATTATTATTAAACAAATATATATTAATAATAGAAATTTTAAATACTAATAAGTTTCTAATAATATTATTACTTATAATAAATTTGAAAAAATAATATTTTAAATTAATATAAAATAGTAACTAAATTTATAAAAAAAATTTTTTTGATTTATTATTTAAATATATTATGTAATTTATAAAATATTATTTAATATAAGTTTGTTTTACAGAATAAGAGAATTTTTAATCTTAGATTAAGATTAGTTTATAATTTAATTGTCATATAAATATAGATGCAAATACAATTTTTTAATCTTATGATTATTAAAGAAAACTTTTATTAATAAGAGAATAATAAAATTTAAATTATTAAACAGATATTTAAAGGTTTAATAAACTAATAAAATGTTATAATATAAAAAGTAAATCAAAAAATTTAAATCATATATATATACTGTAATTAATTATAATTTTAAGTATTATATAAATTAATAAATTTATAAGTAAAAATATTTATTATAAATTATTAGTAAATTTATTTATTAAAACAATTATTTTTATAAAATAATAATTTTGTTAATAATCTTTTTTTAAAAAAATTATTTAAACATTTTAAATCTTGAAAAAAAAAAAGTATTTATAAATAATTTATAAATTATTGTAATTATTGCTTAATTAACTAAATAATAAAATATTGAAAACGTTTTTAATATTACTAATTTAATTATACTATTTTTGCTTTTTAAGTTTGATTATTTATAATAAACATATTTGCTTAAAATGAGTTTGAAATATATATACAAATTAAGAAAGTTTGTTTTATCTTAGGTAGAAATACCGAATATATATATGTTTAATGTATTTAATGATACGTCATAACAAAGGGAAGTTGAAGAAGATAACACTTACCATATCCTCCACTGAGTAGCGGTTTTTTTAATGACTTTTGGTACAACATATATGTACTGTTAAGTATTATGTGTTATGTATAAGTCTAAACGGATTTGAGTGGTGTAATGGGATAAACTAAGAATTGAATTCAAATTAAAACAAAGACCAATGATATTTATGAAGAGATTTTTTTTTCATCATTATAAAATAAAAATGGGTATAACAATAAAAAATAAATAAATAAATAAATATTTCACAATCATAATAATCCCTTTTTTGAAAATTTCTGTAAATAACGGGAAATGAATAAAAAATGAAAATTTTTTGATGCATTGCATACATTATGATTTACACAAGATGAACAAACAAACTAAGGCAATTAAAATATGGAGAGGGAGAGAAGTGATTTTTTTCTGGTTGGTTTAAATTGATAAATTATATACATGTATAGATAGATATATAAAGTTGATTAGATATGATGACGTAATGCCGCATACGGAGATATGATTGGAGCTCATCTGACTCTTTTTACAAAACAAAGGATATATAATATGCAAGAGCCACTTTACCAAATATCAAATTCAAGAAATAAAAATTCAAGTTTTCTTTTATCCACCATTCATTCATGGTTGGAAATTAAAACAGTAGCAAACATACATTTCGAACAAACAAGATCAAAAACTCGAACAATCGAATATTTGAAAAATAAAAAAACGGAGACAAAAAAACAGAAAAACAAAAAAAAAATATCGGTGATATCAGATTACATTTCACATCTCTTTTGTAGATAAGGGAATAATTAAAATTTTTTATTTATCATACATATACATACATACATGCTGCATAAAGATAAAGACAAAAAAAAAACCACATTTAAAAAGAATCTTATCACGATTTTCGTATTTAATTGAAAACAATCTCAACAAATTAATATGGGAACAAAGTTGAAACAAAAAATGATTATTCATTTTAATGCAACATGTTTCAAGGCGTAAATTAAAAAATGAAAAAGATGAAAAGAATGAACGATTATTCGTACTTCATGTCATGATGAGAAACAATGAGAAAACCTTTAAATACTGGATGTAAAATGTGAAAAATCAGAATGAAGGAAAAAAGGGGGAATGCATTGAATCATACAAAAAACTGATGTCGTATTTATAATCAATTTTATTACATGTGGATAATATAACAATATCCTAACCATAATATTCCCTTGAGCGAAATACTACGGTTAACACGACCCAATTTTCAAAATCATTTGATAACTGACCATTGTTCCTTATCAATTTCAAAGATTAAACAAATATTGAACAGAGCGGAAACAGGATTATTGACAAGGAGCGGAAGATGATGTCATGGTACATTCATCGTCGTACATCTGCGCCACCCGAGTCACTATCTGAGAATAAGTTTAGGCCCTTTGATTCAACAAATAAAGAAAACCTCAAGGATTTACAATTGAGCGACATTTGGCATAAAGAGAAAACAATATGATTGAAGATTTCAATTCTCTCTCACCATTTAAGTTAAAAAAAAAAAGAATTTTTCATGTTGGGGAAGGATTATTTTGTTGGCGTTATAACGATTAAATTTATACATTTATGAACATGATTTACCAGAAAATCATGTTTTCACAAAAAAAAAAATATTTTTTTTTTTTTAAAAAAATAAAAGGTTTCGTGGAATGAAAAAAAGGTTGATATTCAAATCACCTATTTATAAAGGAAATGGTACCTTCTTTCAAATGACCTATAACATTTTATTTTGGTCTCACAGAATAAATAAATAAATAAAGTTAAAAAAAGGGTTTTCCCTCCTTTACCCGCCGCCCGCCCACATAAAAATGTAGGTCCAAAGATTTTAAAGTGGGTAAAAATATATTGTTTTAATTTTAAAAACTTAAAAAAGGAAAGAAGAAATTTCTCTCTTAAATTAAGCGAAGCATAGCCTCAAAATCGAGGATCCGGTTAGCAAGCAAGCATGATAGAATCATAGTGTTATAGTGGTTTATCTGGTTGAAAATAGCAGCGTAGCACCATTGTGATGACCGGTGGGTTATCAAACAAGTGCATCTTTTTCCTTGAAATAGTCAAGCGCACATCGAAACTAGTTCCAATTGAACACAATGAAACTCCTTTACCAAAAAGATAATCCGAAAATGTTTAGAAAATTATCAAAGATATGTTTTGGTGGAGAAAGGGAATCCCTAATATTGGAATTAAACAATGTATAAAATTCTTTTTTTATTAAACTCGTTTTATTTAATCTGTTTATCACACTAATACTAAATCAATCACATACAAACATTACAAACATTAGGATTCCTTAATATAGGTTTTGAACATCATTAACAAATTTGAGATGTTTTCAATTTCTTTTATTTTAATTTTTATCGTTCGTGATATTTCGTAATCTATAAACAAGGGTCCCCTGCATATGAGCTATACCTA